TTAGATCGAGCATCAAAAGCGACTACCAACGCTCTCTGAGTCCGTCATTTGCAATAGTAGTTAACAAGAAACCAATTAACATGGCCGAAGTTATTATGTCAATGACATTCTCTCTCTCTCTCTCTCTCTCTCTCTAGAAGGAAGGGAGGAAATATTAGGTGCATTAAATATATCACGTAGGATTTGCATTAAACCACACAGAGACCGACAAAGGGAAGAGGTCAATGGTACAAATTTTTGTAAGCAATTTTAGCAATCCAAACTGTCTTCTTTTTCTTTTTTTTTCGATTCAGTAACGATGTGGTGTCCGAACTATCTTATTTTCTTTTGGTTTAGAGCTCTCATCCTTCTGTACTTATACATTTGAACTTCTCAAAGTTCCCAAAGCTTAACCGAGAGAGAGAGAGAGAGAGAGAGAGAGAGAGAGAGAGAGAGAGAGAGAGAGAGAGAGAGAGAGAGAGAGAGAGAGAGAGAGTTGTAGTTGAACTCCATGCTATAATCTCTAAATGTGTTTGGTTCGGGGACATTCGATATCCTTTTCAATCCATTTTACAGTTCAAAAGCTCCTCCCCCACCGACGGCCCCTCCTGTTCTCATCTGGCCTGTGCGTGCACACATTCCATTCCACCCCCCCTTTTGATTCCTTTCTTTTCTGCATTATCGCAATGTTGTCGTGGAAGCAACTTCAACAACATGTTGATTTTGTGGGGAACGAGGCATGTTCTCGTAATAAACCTCGTAATCATGCATCGGGTCCTCTTTGCTTTCTTCGGGTGTGCTGTAGTTGTCGAGGGTTACGTGCTGTCGTCCTCTTCGAATGGGGGGAAAGGAGTGGATGTTTTCATGCATGGGGCTCGTGCGGATTTAGCATTTGGGGTCCGGTTAGAGAGAGGCATTGAAAGGTTAGGGCAAATGGGGTTTTCTTTTGACTGCTTCTTTGTGGTGGGATTTCTAATATACAAGATTAGGTGTCCTCCTTTGTTTGATGCCATTTCCATCATTTTCTGTTCCTTTCTAGGGCACTAGATTAGGGCTCAATCTATACAAGTTTTTTGGAAATAGATATTAGGTATTGAGGAAAAAAAAACGAAATACAATGGCTATGTTCGTTTCGCAAAAATAAATGATTTATAAAATATTTTCCTAAAAACGATCGCTTGTTAAAATGAGTAAACAAAATTCTTATCGCTAACGAATATCTACAGACATAAATTATTATCAATGATGAAAATATTTTTCATTGAATAATTATTTTAAGCGATACAAGCGATTGACATATATTTTGTGTATACGATGAGATTCTTTCATCATTGACTTTTAACCGTAATGGTTTGGTCTTTTCCCAACTTCTAAATGGCAAAAGGGAGAGTTTTTTACTTTCCTTATCAAAATTTAAGATATTGTTCTAAATTTAAGAAAGTATATAAGAAAACTATGTGTGAATTAATGTGTTAACATCCATAAATTGTGAAAGTTTCGGGTGCTTAAGTGCACTGCAATAACAAAACGGAAATTATAAAGTAAAAATCACTTTAAATATGCTCTAAATGAGTAGGTATAGCTGAGAATTTTCCCGTTTATAAGAACATGATCGTTGGGATCTTCGTCTTTTGGCGTTGTGGAATGCTAATTCGTCCAACACGTAATCGAGCCCTTGGATCTAACTCTAGTTTTCATTGACAGCTTCCTTCGTGCATGCACTTAGCTAGCTAACTTTTCCATCATCTAGAAGGGGGGGGGGGGGGGGGGGGTGTGAATTGAATGCAAATTGATCGATTTTAATGCGGAAGTAATTGATCTCAAGTAAAGTCCGAACAACGTTTAGATTTTAGTCAGACTTTGAATGGCAAACAGACAAATGAGCAATAAAGAGATTTAGGGAATGAAGAATATGCACACAGATGTATAGTGGTTCGGCTTAGTTCAAGCCTACGTCCACTCTCCCATACTGACAGCCTACTGGCAGGATTACACTAGATGATCAATCAAGAGATTACAAGTTCTGAGTGATATTCAGAAGGATCACTCTATCTCTTTTACAACAAGTCTCTCAAGATCACAGATTTAAGCTCGAGAAAGACAAGTAAAAAACTGGTTAGAGTTTGCTCAGACTTTGGAATGGATAATTCTGGATTTCGTCTCTCTACTACTGCTCTTCGACGATTTGCCTCTTTTTATACTCCTTCACTTCCAAACTAGTTGTTGGACAGTTTTCAGATGATCCTTTTCCAATCTTCATCTTGAATAGATTTGTATAGAAAGGATTGAGTAGCCGTTGAGTGATAAATCAGAATCCCGCTAAATCTGATTGCCCATACAACCAAAGATTTGGTTTCCATAAGTAGAGCTTCTCCATTTAGAAATAAACTTGTCGTGGGATTTGATTGTCAATCAACTTAGGATATCTTGCTATGTAAATATTCCTTGCAAAATAGCCTTTTAAGATCGAATCAATTAATTCTTTTCATTGGTGAAATCCAAACCAGATTACTAGCCGTTATTTACGTTCCGAGTAAGCGACAAAGTCTAAATAAAGTCTTTGCGCTCAGAACTTGACGTCAGAGTGGTTTGTTAGGTAAATTCTGAATATATTGATTCCAGTATATAAACCGAGGTACTTCAACTTCTTTGTATGAAGTCTAAACTCTGTTTTTTGCGGTGCAGAACCTGGATTTCTTCTTAAAGTCTGGACTTCCAGAATGTAATTGCCTGGACTTAGAATACTTCAAAAGCATATGTCAAACTTTACTTATGGATAGTTTTGTCAACTTCAAAATATATTAGGAGGTTTTCCCAACACAATCGACCTTGTTTTTTTAAACCAATTGGTAGTTACTCGACTATGATACTTAACTTTATTATCATTTTTGCATCTCGTAGGTATCTAAACGTAGGATTTAGGAACATCCTAGGAACCGAGAAGCTGCTAGTTGGCGATCCTCAGTTTGCAAAATTTGAAGTACCAAATTATCAATGACTAAGGCCGAAAATATTTTGACAACGAAAGGGGTTCAAGTGATAGCGTTGTTTAATGACTTGGTTAGTGATGTTGGCGTGGAACAGTGAGTTGATGCGATGCTCAGTGGAAGCTATATATATCACGGTTGAATTGAGTTCATTGATGACCGATATTTCTGCATTCGAGATAATATGTCACAAGAGGATGTGACCATGAAGAAGTTTTCAGTGATGGAGAATCTTGCGGACATGTGGACTGAGTTCATCCCTCTGGACAAGTGCGAGCTCAGCTTATCTATGGTGGTTGAGTGTCCGCCAGTGTGTTGCGAGAGCCGGCATGGATCATGATGAGCACTATGATTTCATCGCAAACATCGAGTTTAGGTGGAGAATTGTTAAAACATGTCTCGAATTTAAGCTTATTACGTGAAACTTGATCCAATAAACGGGCGGCCCATATTATTTGGATGCTCATAGTATAGGTACCTCCAGCTGGATCGAATCACGCGAATCTCTAGTAATTTCATTCTCTCGCATTTAGTATTGAATTGCAAGATCCGTTAACTTCCGTCGTTTAAGAACAATTATCATATGATCAGCAAGAAATTACAAGAAAGTTGAATAGGAGAGCTTGAGAAAGAGAGGTGCCCCCATCATCACGTCTCTTTCATCCGATGAGCTTTGCTAATGAAAAGTGGCTAATAGGCCAGGAGATTTTCCTCTTGTCATTGCAGCAACAGAGAGTTTAGATTTGAATAAGGTTAAAGAATGACAGGTTGTAACCTCGGGGTCCGATTAAAAAGCTATGGTCATTTCTTCAATCTTCTAATCATTGGATGGATGTAACTAGCTCATACATGTGGAGAGAGAGAGAGTGTGTGTGTCTTAATTGCTTTGTATCTTGTTAGTTCTCCATGTATTGAATCGAACATTCTCGTGTTCTGACTTCTTGGAATGGTAAGTGGAGGAATGGGTCGGCTTAGAGTCGCTAGAGAGGAGGACAGGGAAGTGCGTAAGAAGCCGGCTATAAGATTTTGCTTGTTTCGCAAAACATAAATGATTGTGAAAGTATTTTCTTAAAAATAATCGCTTGAAATAATTAATCGATAAAAAATTATTTTAATATTGATAATAATTTATATCTAAATATTTTCGTGGACGATAATTTTTTTTTTTGTTCGTTCGTTTATTTTTGTAAATAATATGAGCGATTGTTTTTCTCGGCTCACCTGGCATTGCATGGGCTATTCCGCAATCGAAGATCTGTTAGCTTGTGACACAAGTGTGCTAAACTATCAAATGCTTGATTATTGTTCTCTCAAGCATCTTAACTTAATTTATACAATCTGGTACTGGACTTAAAATTGGGGGATTTTTAGGGTATTAGGCCCAAAACATCAACAAAAAGATGAAGAACTCCTAAAGGGAGGGAAGAGGCAATGAGATAGGCATCGCTTACCTTTTAAAGACATAATTGCATGCTCCGAGCGTGGTGAGCCCAACTGTGTAGAAACGCTTAGATGTAGGCCCCACCTCATCTAACTATGTGTACGAGTTGAGCTCTCGTGCATACGGGACAAACATGGTTTTTTTTCTCGCTGTAGACATCGATTTCTTTATGAAAATGAAGATATATCTCTTTACAGAAAATCATAGAAATCGACGTAGATATGTTTAAGGAGTCTCTAGTAAGGTAATTTTCCTCGGAATAATATGAATATGGAACTTATAAGTCAACTCACAAATCTTATCCATTTAGAATATGCGGTCGATTTCGCCCTCAACGTACCAAAAAAGAAAAAAAATGCAAAATACGAAGGGGCTTCTGCTTTATTTGGAAGTGACAAGTGATAGACCCTCAAAACTCAAAGCCCCATGACTCCCATCTCCTTTTGGCATCTCCAATCATCATCCCTTTGTCCCCTCCTCTTTTTATTCTCCCTTGCTTCACTCCCCTCCACATCCCCTCAATCCCTTTCCAAACCTTGTATCCCATCCCACCAATAATGTACACCCCAAAAGCACCTCGAGCAAAAAGAGAGTAGAAAATCTTATTATCAACAACATTCACACACTTCTCTTTGTTCACACTTTCTTCTTTGCACCTTTTGATTTGGGAGGCCTTGGACGCTTGAGCCTCGACACACCCCTTGCTCCAAATGTCCTTGTAGCAAGGTGGGGGAAGCACATCTCAAGACACCCCTCCTCTTGACCCCAAAAGAAAAAAAAAAATCCAAATTTCCAATAGAAATCGACACATGTGAAGAGCGAAATCATATAATTGACGCTGTGCTTGAGCTTATATGGCTTGTGTAAGAATCTTGGGGGGAACCATCGTTTCTCAGCTCCAGCACTCGGGAGTGAGCGAATGGTCCCTTCTCGAGTCTCGGCAGTAGTCATAGACCATGTGGTGAGCTTGGACCCATCTCATCGCGCGGTATTGCTGCCCGGTGAGGCCGCCCGAGCGGTAGGGCGAGGCGGAGAGGGGATGGCACCAGGCCGGGGAGTAGGCGGAGCAGCCGCTCGCTTTGAAATTGGTGTACCGCGCGACGAAGGGCTGGTACCGGTAGTCGGCCTTGTACTTGCCTTCTTCCGTGGCCCACGACGAGGCGTCCCATATGGACCCGTACAGCCACATCGGCCTCATCGGGAAGGTCGCCTCGCTCTTCCTCGGGTACCTCCTTATGGGTATGTCGTCCACGAGGAATCTGAAAATTCATGGGCAAAGGAATAAGAAACAAAAGGGCCGTTACATTTCGTAAATTATCTCCAAATTATTATCAGATGATTAAATTAATAAGCAATAGTTACAGGAAGAAATTAATAGCTAATGGACGTAAAACCGATTTTTTTTTCATAATTTCAGAAATTACCCAAAAATGATTTTGTTAAAAAAAAAAATTGTGTTACATGGAAAGAGCATATGTCCTCCTATTGAGTGCGTATTAAAATTAGTTTTATATATTTGGTCCCCATGATCTCAACATTACGATCACGTCCCTGTCTATCCTCGCGCCAATAGTGTCTCTATTTCGCTTGTCGCGTCATTAGCTTTACTAACATTCAAAGGTACATATTTACTATATAGTCGGTGAGATCAGTTTGACCAAAAAAGATCGAACGACAACATTCTAATGGCAAACAGATATGCATAGCTTTTCCGAAAAAACATGTCGGTACGTCAAAACCCCGGATCGATTAAATCTCCGATACTTGCCGCTGTGCAGCAGAAGAAATCGATCCTGTGGGTACGATCGATGTCGGGTTTCCGATCATGGGCGAGTTGAAGCAGCGAGCAATTAGACGATGGAAGAAAGAGGAGGAACAAGAAAGGAGCTATTGGACTTACATGAGCTCGTCGGGTCTCCAAAGAATGGCATAGTGATGGAAGTCTTGGGTGGGATCGAACCAGAGATGGAACTTCATCTCCCTGCCTATGATCTTGCCGTCGCCGCTCCCTCGGATGTACACGTTGGTCTGCAATGTGTAGGGCTTCCCGAACGTGGTTCCCAGGAACTCTATGTCCACCTCGTCGTGGAACCCTGGATGAGCCTCGCTGTTCGAAAGCTGCCATCGTTTTCATACCCCAATTCAATCAATTATCTTTCTCCCCAGGAAATTGAAAATGTCTGTCATAAGCTTCACCAAAGTGAAAAGAGAAATAAAAACGAAAATCTTTCCATTTACGACCTTGACTCCTATTTATGTTGGGTTCGCACTAGATCTTTTAGGGAACAATGCCGAATGTGTGTAGCGAGAATGGTTCGCAACGTTGTGTATCGAGTTTCTAAACCGGTCTTGACATACCTAGCATCGTTCTAGATTTAGCGGCAGTATACCTTATCAATTTAGGAAGCTGGCATTTTATATGCCTAAAATCCTAACAAATTTTGAGCTCCCTATTGATTTAATGACTAATTGTTCAATGTCGATTATCTTCATGTCCTCGGTCTGCCGAAAACGGTCCAGACGGTTTAAGAGAGAAAGAAGCAGCTCTTGCCGGAGATTGAAGAGACAAATGTATGAATTCATCCCTAGTACTATCAACCCATCTATCCAAATGCAATATGTCTATAGCCTCTGTTCATCGCGTTTCTCACATAGAATGAAGTTATGACCCCTGCGGTGTAACCCGGTTGGAGCTTGATGGACGCGCCAAAGTACCCGGACCGGAACGGCTTGACCGACTTGAACCCGCTCCCTACAATCCAATTCACCAGTCCAAGTAAATCAAACGTAAATTGAACAACGAATCAGCACCGACAAGACCCAATACACATGAACGAAGTGAACTTCTGTCGATTCCTATTCGGAGGAGGACCTGAGGTGCTGTCAAGCCAGATGGTCAACGCGCTCTGGTCAACCCTCTGGTGCTGGGGGCCCCAGAGGTTCTTGAACCCCTGGTAGAAGCTCATGGACCTGAACCTCGAGCTCGGCCAGTACCCTGGCGATGGAGGCCACTGGGCATTGCCTGGGCATATTGGCAGCATCAAGAACACCAGGAGCAGGGAGAGATAGAGCAGAGCCATCGTCTCCTTTCTTCTTTCTGCTGCTTCTTCTCAAGGAAGAAGGCAAACGATAAAGCAAGAGAGCTTGACTGGATGCGTTGTTTGCTTGTGAGTGCTTAAACGCGAGAGAGAGAGAGAGAGAGAGAGAGAGAGAGAGAGAGAGAGAGAGAGTATGGCAGCACAGTTGATATAAATAGGAAGATTAGTGGGTCCCCCACTTCCTTTATTAAGCAATTCACCATGGTCAGGCACAGAGATCATCTCTAGATTGTGTGCATGAACGAGACTAACTCAGATTTCACGGGCAGAAAAGACTTCAGAATGTGTATTCTGTAAACGTGTGGAGGCCATGGCATGTCTTGTATGTTACAACTACTCGTGTTTTCTTGCCTTTAAAGAGAGCAACCTGTTCAGCTCTTTGCTTTGCATGGCTGGAAAGCTAGGAAAAGGAGATGGAGAGATGGTGTTGCGAGCTGTGGGTAGATGAATATCTCTTAAATGTGCTCTCCTTCTCTTTTTTTCCTCTTTGCTGGTAAATTTTGGGCTGTTCATTTCACTTTTTGATGCTTCAAGTTTCATCTCATTCACTGCCCGCAATAATTTGGAACCCGTGCGAGGACTATGCCAGTACTTCTTACATCCCACCCCACCATTACATCTACATGCCCTTCTGTCTCGGCATTCAATGCAAAAGAAATAATTTCATTGGCCATTTTTTTCTTTGCAAAGCGATGGGATCGGAAAGAGGCGCTCTGCGCAATCAATCATCTTGGTAGAAGTTCTGCACTCAATACGAAATGTTTGATTAGAGTTATGACTCGTACGTTTGCTCGGAACCTGAAGGTATAATGTCGATGAGCTCGTCGTCACAATCCCACCGACGTGCTGAAAACATTACTGACATTACCAACACTCCTTGGGAAGTCTTCTCCTTTTCACCAATTTCACCTTCTGGTCCTTTGCCCCCTCCATCCCTCCTGAGTCAGTTCCAGTTCTTGGCCAGTGGATGGTAAAAGGAGGGACGACATGGTGGATCCTGAGTTGGGCCCGCACGTGATTTGATCGCAACTTTGATGCGTGTGAGCTTAGGTTGTCGTTTCGTGGAGGAGGGGTTAGTGTACGGACGAGAGAGGGTTTATCTACAATAATGATTTGATTAATTGCGTGTAGGCCATGCGGATTATAATACAATCATTGAGGCATGGCCACCTTCTTTCCCTATGCTACACGATTTTTACTCACATTTAATTATGATAAAGTTTTGACCTTTAGAAGATTTATCAATTGGGGTGGCAGGAATTTGCCTGGTTTCTATTAATATTCCATTGTTTTGCAAAAAAATAAATATTTTGAAAAAATATTTTCTTAAAAATAACCACTTCTTTCGGTTATAAATATGAATAATCAAAAAATATTTTCATCGTCCACGAAAATATTTAGATATAAATTGTTGTCGAAAATGAAAATATTTTTTTATTGACTATTCATTTTAAGCGATGATTTTTTAAAAAATATTTTTCAAATGATTCAAATCTCGAGAAATAAACGGATCCTAATAGTTAAAAAGGACAAACACTTTAGGGCCCTATTTTTTCCATCCTTTTAAGGGGAAAAAGGTAGTTATTTCCCTTTTGCGTCAAAATCAAAATCTATTCTAATTCTAAAAAGTATGAAAAAGAATTGCACATAATGTTAAATGACTATTTAGGAAAAGGGATCCTCAAAATTAATTAAAGGTCGAGTCTCGATTATTAAAAAGTAAATATAACTAAATAGAAGTCACTTCAAAGTCAAATAAACTTTCACTCTTTAAAATTGAAGTCATGTTTGAATTGGCTTTTACTTTTTACGTTTTATTTAATCTTAATCTATCTAATTGCGCATGTACTTTGACTTTTCTAAGTTAGAAAAGTTTCAAAATTGCATGAAATATAAGTCTCCACATACATATGTACATGTAATTTTTTATGAACTTTTCAAAATTTAACTGAAATTTTCAATTTTTGTGGGGAAAGCAAAACTATCACGCCCTTCAACTGCTTCAGAACTAAGCTCAACTGACCACTGAAGGATGTTGTACTGTAATCTAAGATCTTTTTACGTTCAGAGTCCCTAAAAAACTTTTTTGGTTCAAATCACATACACTCGAAAAAAAGATAAAACAGTTCGTGCCATCCAAATCATCACCGCAATAGGGCCCGCGGCCTAAAGATCACACTTCGAGAAAAGGCTGCCGGATCGACTCTTGTCGTCGCGATGATGCGCCGGTACACAGATCGATTGAATTTGCCTCGACCCTTGTTGGCACACGGTAGGACGGAGCATTTCCTCAGGCTCTGTCTTGAGGAGTTACTCTGTAATATGCAGAGAGCATTTCTTTCCCCCTAAGTTAACTGTCAGAACATATATAAGGACTGTGTGATGACACGTTAAAGTCCATTTCTGATGTTTACTACTGTGCAAGTGCAATGACAGCGACTGAGGTCATCTCATTGCGTTTTCATCCCACAATGTTGCGAAGTAGGGTAGGCTCTCCATGTCAGATTTTACGTTGTGGATTGTCGACTTTCGGTGTCTCGAAAATCATATAAATCGACACTTAATTGTCTGATAATGAGCTCTTCTTATGAGCAATAATTATAGATGGTGGCCTGTCAATGAGACGGCTTAGTGGAAGCATGCAATTCCATAATCACTGGCGGCAAGACCACGACATGAGCGCAACCAATTCAATTTAAGGAAAGATTAGTAATTATGACCACAATAATTGTGTGGTGCGGATTTCAACACTAGGACTTTAGCACTGTTTGTACACCACTGGGAAAAAAGAAAGAAAGCTATGATTTCTAAAAATTTAAAAGCCATGCGATGTAGACCGATTAAGACTTCCTTAGAACATGTAATTTCCACTGAGGCACTGATTCGTTTTTTCCATGGAAAGGATAACGCTATGGTTCCTCCATGGAAGACATGAAAGGGAAAAAGAGTGATTGAAGATGTGACCTTATAATGACTTTTGTGACATGGGAAAAATCCCCTTAAAGTTTTAAATTCTATGAAAGGACTATGGTTGAGTTCTAAATATTTTATCGTGTAAAATCGAGTTAAAATTTTCTTTTAAAACGTGCAGACAAGTCCTTTTAATCACCTTTGCATTGAAAATCACCGAAGTAGTCAGTGGAAACTGATTGCATCGGCTAAAAGATTTAAGATTCAATTACAATGATTATCAGTTTTGAGACTCGCTATATCGTGTGTGTAAAGTTTAGGATACCCATTTTGGCAATAATTATTTGAAAAAGGCAATTAAAAAATCCAACTGCCTAAGATTTTGCCTCATCTACATTGGATCTGATGCCATGCAAAACTTTGACTTTTGACCCATCAGAAGGTTACCAGAAGAGGAAACTTCTGGTGCCCTAACAAGCCTTACAATAAGTTGCGCCAGATCTGGTAAGTTTGATAATATAAGCCTTACAATACTTGTTCCCTAACCACAACCTATGGGATGACACATTTTACAGGAAACAATAAATTTCGAGACCTACCATCTGTAAGTACAAGTCACACACATCATTTGAAACAAAGGGGTGGGGCAAAAGAAAAAAGAGAGAACAATGAGAAAACATGATCCGTAGATTTTAGGCCATACATTTACTTCAATCAGCTGATCCCACCCTCATAAATTTCTGACTTTTAGGTCCAATTCACATTCATGGACTATGTGCTCAGGGTAGGTCTCTCCTACCCTTAAACCCTAACTCTGATAGCTCCTTTCTTGGACCAAAAAAGAAGAAAAATCAATAAAGGAAGACAAAACCAGCACGAGCAATGTACATTTGTACTAGTATAGTCACACTGTTTTGTCGGCCAGAGGAAGAAATACTTAGATGAAGGTGAAAGAAAATGAGAAAAATGGGGCCCTTATTGACCCCACAAATCAAGGCACTCACAAGAAATTTAGGTTGATTTTTATATTATATTTGTCGAATCATCGGGTATCCTTTTCTAGTAGATAGGAGCAGTTTGATTTCTCTGTCGTTATCTAAAAAATTATTTAATTTGGGTATGTTTTGGTACCAAGAAAATAAGTGCAATGGACTTCTCTCAAAAGTGTTTGGAGACAGCATCTTTGCATTTCCTCCTTTTAACATTGCCTCAACTTTTTAAATGAAGTCAAAAGCCTAATACTTTGTTGAGATGATCTAAGCAATTAGATTCGATGCATCGCTTTGAGGGAAAGTTTGTAAAATAATCTCTAAATTAAGAATAAAAAAGATCGCCTATTTAAAATTTTCTTTACACCTACGATGACAATGTATGCTTTATTTTTATTCGAAAATATTATGTTGGATCGATGTTTATATAATAATTATTAAGGAAATCATTATCAGGAGTCTTGTGACCTCTTGGATGCCATTCTCTCTCTCTCTCTCTCTCTCTCTCTCTCTCTTCTCTCTCTCTCTCTCTCTCTCTCTCTCTCTCTCTCTCTCTCTCTCTCTCTCTCTCTCTCTCTCTCTCTCTCTTACATCTTTTGGAGGTTCTAAAAAGTGTGATGATCCAAAGCTTTTGGCTTTATTAACCTCCATTATTTGATGAATAAGGTCCAATGTCCTCAAAACCTATGAGGAAGAAGACGACGAGCGAGGCTCGCATCAGCCGTGCAAACATGATTCAACTAAACCCTTCATTTAATTATGTGTAGGTTCTATGAAATAATAAGGTGTGATCTTTAGTCGGTCGTCCACCAAAATCCCAAGGAACCACGGCCATAACTCGGACGAAAATATATAAATCTAATCTTATATTTTCAAGACACCCAACAGATGTCGTGTTGAGCAATAAGAATATAAAATATACACTAGTGTGCTGCCCCGTGCTTGCATAGATTCCACATATGATTAACATATTCTAATATGCAAAGTCAAAACTACATTTATTCTACAAAAAACTAAAATTTATCGCAAAACATATACTCGAGATTTTTGCTAGGGTTGATTAATTCATATGAAAAGGAAAAATATATATATAAACGGCAAGTCAAAATTTATGTGGTGCACCATTCAATTTGTTAGCTAATCAAATTATCAATGCAATCGATCGAGTTTACGCCAGACGAAATATACTTCATGATCATGAATGATCTCAAGTCCACTAGTGCATGTCCATTGGGTTTATGAGTAGATTTACTCTTTCTAATGATGATTCACTTAGATTATGGTAGGGAAAGAAATGGCACATATAATTTATTCTCCTTTATGACGGTTCTCAAGTACTCATTTTGTGAGCTAAATCAATCGAATATACATTGACACGACTGTGCCTATAAGTTTACACATATTTGACATAGCCTATATCATGATTTTTCTAAAATTTTATA